ACGGAACAAAAACCATGTAGCCCCAATTAAAAGTAAAAGTATTAAAAAACTAAAACAATCAACAATATTTGTGGTGGTTCGAGTTGTATACCTTAAAAATCAGTATTGTAAAACTCGTCGAGTTGACCGATTACTCCTCCGAGTACTCGCTATTCGACCCTTTACCGATGTGAGTTACAGAATCCCGAGTACTCCCCGATCGACTCCTTATTAAACTGAACAGTGTTGTAAAACCCGATCAACTCGGTGATTAATACGTATAATATACCTAACGATTAATTATTTAACACAAACACATGTGATTATTACTAAATATATACCTTAACTTTTCAGTAATTATTCTCGAAGTGAGATCATTATATGTTTTTCAGTTTTTGTGTATACACATGTATCTAATTTTGTTATATAGTTCAATCAAAATAAGATTTTAACTTGTGATTCTGACATATATAAGTTCCCTAAAAATATTTCTAAATCAATTACCGAATCCGAATACTCGTGAGTACTCGCTACTTGATAGTCGGTTGAATAGGTACCTAATAACGAGTTCTACAACCTTATTAAAAGTTGAACCGACAAGTTCAACCAAAAACAAATCATGCTAGCAATTCACAAACTTTATAAATTTGGATGCACTTAGAGACGTTAATGAGTAAATTACACAAATGGTCCCTAAGGTTTGGGGTAATTTGTGTGTTTAATCCCTAACTTATTTTTTTAACTCGGAAGGTCCCTAATGTTTATTTTTGTTACACGTTTGGTCCCTACTGTTTGTTTTTGTTACGTGTTTGGCCTATATCTTACCTAAAAAGACTATTATTTAAATAGAGAAAAATTGTGAAATATGTAAGATTAAGTGAGGGGTTGCGCTTGGAAGTGTGTTTATTTCAATAAATTAAAGAATCAATGGCAAAATAGTTTTTTTAGGTAAGATAAAGACCAAACGTGTAACAAAAACAACAAATAGAGACCTTCCAAGTTAAAGATAGAGTATATTACATGAATGATCTCTATGGTTTGGGGTAATATGCGCGCTTGGTCCCTTACTTATTTTTTTAACTCGGAAGGTACCTTCTGTTTGTTTTTGTTACGCGATTGGTCCCTACTGTTTTTTTTTGTTATGTGTTTGGTCTCCGTCTTAACTAAAAAAACTATTATTTAAATTAGAAAAAATGATGAGATAGGTAAGGTAAGGTGAGGGGGTGGCGTTAGGGTGCGTTTATTTAAATTAGTTAAAAAATCAATGAAAAAATAGTATTTTTTAGGTAACAAACACGTAACAAAAACAAACAGTAGAGACCTTCCGAGTTAAAAAAATAAGTTAGAAACCAAACGCACAAATTAACCCAAACCATAGGGACCATTCATGTAATTTATTCTTTAAAAAAATAAGTTATAGACTAAACATGCAAACTACCCTAAACCCTAAACCATAGGGACTATTCGTATAATTTACTCTAAACCAATTTTCAAGAAATATAACTTTTTGAGCTCAAACCCAATATTACGAGCAGACGCAAATAACTCAAGGTTTGTAAACAAATTTTGAGTTGGTTGTATCCATATTTTGCTTAACAGCTCAAGACTAAAAACACAAAGTCATTTGCTTTATATAAGAAATTATATAGAGAACTGTTTTTCTGCTGCGTTCGATGTGGGATATCTTCAAAGGTAGGTCATAAACGTTTTTCAAAATAGATCTTAGAATTTTTATCCTAAATAAATTTGAAAATTTAGGTAGTTTGTGGGATTCACTTTGGACTTCAGTAAACTTGCCCATATATAGTAGTATGTATGTATGTAAATAACAGTAATATAAAAATATGGATTTTATAAAAAAGAGTTTATATAAAATTGAAGCGAGGTTATTGCAGAATCAACCTAAAGTTGTATTTCTATTTGTCCAATTAATTAAGATATTGACATAAAAGGATCGCTACTAAAAATTCCAAGTGACAATGATAATTATTGGAAAGAGGAAGATAATAATTGATGGAACAAGTGAAGTATGCCATGTGAAGGTGTAGCTTCCTTGGGAATGACATAAATCACGGTATTTCGATAATAAAAAAATCAAAATGAAAATCTGAAATAATATAATTAAAACTATTTGAATTTTGAATAAATAGAAAATAATGACTTATTATGAAAAGTGTCACCTTTATTTTTGTCTATACCACTGGATACAGGATAAGTAGGGTCATCGGAAAGTCACGGTGTTGATTACGGCTATTGCAACTGATAGTGATGTTGGACCGGTTACTTGGCTATACAATATCGGCAACATAAATATTAAAATTACAGTAAATTACAAAAATGTTCCTTTTTTTTTTTTCTTCAAATTCGTAGTCTTGTAGATTCAATCCAAATTTTAAATATTTGATAGGTCACATCTTCCATTCCATTTAAATCCACATATTCATATTGCAAGAAAAGAAATTACATCTTTGTTACATTAATCCAAAACTACCAAAGTTAAAGTAGAATTTCAAGAACCAACAATGAAAGAATGTATTTCAGCCCAACTAGACACTGTATACACAACACCTGATACCCCCTTCCAACTGAAAAACCTCCCCTCAACAACCTCTCTCTGCTTCATGACTAAACCAGAGAACAAAGGCACAAAAGAAACACCAAAATGACTCCCAATTTTTCTAAGAGACGAATTTGACCCGATGACAATGCCTATGTCTGCTTCTAGCAAGCAAAGTAAGTCACCAACCGAGTCTCCAATGTAGATGCTTAGGTTCTTTTTGTCACATTGGTCATGTTCTTTCAGAATGTTGGAAAAAGCTTGAAGCTTGTCAATAGGGGACTCCATGTTTTTCATGATTTCACCAGTGGAGAAAAGGCCATTGTAGATGAACTCATTTGCATGTAGTTGCAGATTGTTGATACCCTTTGATGAGAAAGCAGATCTAATAAGATCGCCACACCAGCAAAAGGACAGGATATGAGCATCCACGTTTAAATTTTCCTTCTTTGTGATGTTTTGAAAGAAATCCATGCAATCATCTTGGAGTATAAGACATTCACCAGCATGTTTAATATCTTCAAGATTCAAACCCTTGAGTACTTCAGATTCAGTCACTCTTGTATTTGCCCTTCTCTCAAAATCCGATAGTTGTATGAGTGCCTTCTTTAGCCCCTCATAGTCAAAATCTCCCACTTCAAAGACAAAATACAACAGTTTCTTATATGATAAGCCACAAAAGTTGTTGGACTATAAACGAAAACAGCAATTAATCCATAGTTTATGTTTAACAAGAAATAGGATGCTTCACCTTTTTGATCAACCAACATACTTTCCTTGCACTGTTCATATTCTTCCATGTACTCCCTCGATAATCTTTCCCATGTTTTTCTCAATTCAGCTAAGGGCATCCTGGTAATTTCATTTTCACTTTCTCGTTGGGTTTGATCCGACTTTGGTGCTGTATCCATAGCAATCTCAGCCAAAATAGCACATGAATCAACTACAGTGCATGTCAGATCAAAATCAGAGAAAACCGTAACACGATGATATTTACGATTATGCCCCTGTAATAACGGAACTACAGTTTGCTGATCAAGAGGTTGGGCCAAAAAGAACTCCATCTCAAGTTTCATTGCTTGATGATAAAGTTTTTGCATGATATCAAGCTCTTCACCAGTCAAACAAACACTTAACTTGTCCAGCAACTCCTCAGTCTGGCAAGCTGCTGCCTAAATTTTCAAGAAAAACATCAATGAAACAAATCGTATAAAGTGCCACAATAGAAAGAAAAAGAAAAATAAATACCTGAAAAGCTTCAGATGAATAATTATGGATCCACTTCTTGTATGGGTGGTGATTGCCATTTATATTATCAACCAGAAACTGAAGTTCCTTTCCAAGAAAAGCATAAAGCCTCATGCAAGGGACCATTGCACTTATGGTGTATGCAGCAACTTTTGTTTTTTCAAAAGGGGTGGTGAGATTTGCATGACAATTTATGCCTTCAATCTTCCCAGAGGCTGTTGCCAACAAGAACTCAGTGTACTTCAGTGTTGCAGAGTTTGGCATTGTTTCTTTAGACACATCAAAACCCCATTCCTGGATCCTTTTTGTATATCAGTGTGATAAATTTAACTAAACATAAACTAAAATAAAATAAAAGAGGACACATTTGTAAAAAAGTTAGGACTTAATGGGAAAAGCCTCATTTCCTTAACACTTCATGCCTAGTCCCAAAGTTTTCACCCCTAGACCTTACTACAGTCCATAGGCAAATATGATATAAATGCAAGAAAAAAATTAACACACATCAAGATTGTAATGTGTCACACATGAAACACATACTTCTATACAAGGTAACATAGTACAAGCTATACACTTCAAGTCTTCCGTAGGCAGATATAATACAGGTGCAGGAAAAAAAAACAAACATCTAGATACATAGCCTAAGATAAGGTTTCTTGCATTTGAATTTATCCTTCCATAGTGAGATACATGGAAAATGCAGAAAAAAAAAAAAAAAAAAAAAGATACATAACCTAAGATAATGTCTCATGATGCACAGGAAGTAGGAACGGATCAACATGATCTATGGGGTATGAATGTGTGCATAGCCAAAAAAAAATCTGTTTTGCAGTGCATCGATATTAAAAAAAAAAAAAAAAAAAAAAAAAAAAAAGTAAAAAAGTGTTTTCACATTATATGACAAAAACTGTTTTCACGTGCATCCCATGATCAAACTCTATTATACTAATGCATACCCTGGTCAGAAATCTTGATCTACATGGCCTAAAGCAGCAAAAGAAAAATGTCTAGTGCATTCACATTTCTCTGTGATAAAATTCCAAAATTACTGAACTGAGATATTGATTAAAAACTCACAGAAAGATATAAATGCATTAAGAAAAATCCATACGAACAGGGTAATGCTATACATAATAAAATACAAGAGAATCTTACTTGGCAAAAAGAACCATGCATTTCAAGCTCTTCAAGAACACTCTGTCTCAGCTCACTGATAGAAACTTTAGCATCATCATCATCTGCATACTCCTCGGCTAATTCATATCTAAAAGAAGCACACATAGATCCATATTATCGAAAACCTAAATTGGCGAAATCCAGAAGTACAAAATTCTAAAGAGAAAAACTTACGCTTGGGCAAAGCATTTAAGAAAATGAACATCTTGAGCGATGTAATGGCGAAAAGTATCAAGCTTGAGATTACCAGAGGCTAGCGAAACTACAAAAGGAGTGTAGAGAGAAAGAATCGATTCTTTATTAAACCTAACCCAGAAACGCTTGGCCACGCCTTCATCGTTGGGGTTTAGGGTTGTCGTCATTGATGACTGTGTAACAAGTTTGAAATTGGGATTGTGATTCTTGTTGGATGGTGTATAGTTTCTGTTATTAAAGAAAGCAGATCGTAGAGCGTTGATGGGAACACCATAAAAGGGTTTGTTCGAAAAAAGGCGCATCAAAGAAACAAGAAGTTGGGGAAGTTTGGATAATTTGATTAAAGGCAGAGGGTAGGGAGCTGAGTTCAGAATGGGAATGCAGTAGCTCTGCCTACAAACAGTCAAACACGAGGGAAGGAGCGAATCAATCCCTGGGTATTTTGGGTATGGAAATCTAAATGAAGAGTGACTTTTGGAGTAAAAAGTGTGTTTGGGATTTTTTTTTTTTTTTTTTTTTTTTTAATAAGTTAAAAGTCCTTTTACAGTATTTTTTTATAAAAATTACTTTTATAAAAAGGATTTTTTTGTAAAAAAAGTTTTTAAAATGTATTAGGCATAACTTATAAAGTCACAAAAAGACAAGATTTATAATTTTTGAAAACATTTTTTTTTTTGCCAAAAATTTGTTTAAAATGAACTTTTATACTTACCAAACATCTTTTGGACATTTTTAACTTTTTCAAAAAGTTAAACATCCAAAAATCATTTTAAAATAATGTCAAATATCCTCTTATCTCTAACTACTCCAAGATTTATTTCATCTTTTTACAATTGTCGGAGTGGATCTAAATATCATATAGGCATTTCGGGTCATACCTACGACCATTTTTGGCCCCTTTCCTAAAATCTATGTTAAAAATCTATTTTTTTTATAGGCCGATTTATAATAGAGTCACAATCTTTTATCATATATAATTATTAACCATTTTTGGAGCAAGATTCTTGTGCAATGACCTTTCCTTCTCTACAAACCCATTTATAGCTGGTATCAAACTTTAAATAAACGTTGCAAGAAGATAAAATCTGAATTGGTATGGCGTTTTCAAGTAAAAGGATATTTACTCAAACTAAAAACACACCAACATCCAAACATCCAAACATCCAAACAGGGTATGTAAGTCCCAAGCAAAAAAATTATTAATTTAAACTAAATATATAAAGAACATCTATTCGGTTGACAACAATGAAATAAATTACAACAAGAATCAGGAACGAGTTGAATTTTGTTGATCAGATCTAAACGAATTTATAATTTATTGATATCTTCTTATGAAGGCATCTGCAAGTTTTGTTATTGGAACAACCATATGTTTCCCGCACTGAAACGTGTACGTCTCTCCTTACTGCTATATTGTACTATACTCACCTCCTGAATTGTTGTTTCTCATTTGATTAAAGGTTTGCTCACATTAAATTATTGAACCTTACATATTTTAAATAATTTTAGTTTGCTTGTTTTTTGAATTAGGACAAATATATTTGTCTATTTTCATTGTTTTACACATGGGTTTTCCTATTAGTATCTTTCAGGATTGCGGTTTTACGAAGAGTTGGTTGGACCACGGAGGCTATAGATAACATTGTTCAAATCTTAAATTATTCTGCTCAAGATTGAAGAACATAAGCTTTCCGTTGGGGGCAACCAATCCAACCCTACGGTCCTTCATGAACCATTTTGTCAGGTTTCTTCATGATTTATTTTAGTCAAATAAATAAAAATTAAGTTAGTAAGGAGTGTTCAACTCATATTCATTTGATTTAAAGACCTATATAAGCCAAATATTATTATTCCAAATGTTAAAGTCATAATCATATTTAACTATATACGAAACAAAACTGTTTGTACATAGAAACATGATTAATGCAAGGAATTGACATGCTTAATTAATTCATGTAATTTTGGCTATGCTAGAACTTGTATCAAATTTCTTTTTTAGTATATTTAAACTTAGACCTACGATCATCAATCACCATATTATTTGTACGGGATCAAAAATCAACGGTGAAGACGCCACAATTAATCACTTATAGCCCATTAATGACCAACATGATAAGGACCATAATTACCGTAACATATATGATTCATCTACACTTAAATATCATATTGTATTGTGAATGTGAGTACAGGTGGAGATTTACTGACAATTTTGGAAGAGATAATGGTAAAAAAATATTATGATATGACACTATGATTGCCTCAAGATTCCTTTGTTGCAAATTTAGATTCCTATTTATTGCAATTAATGTAGACAAAGTCATGTTTGTGGATTTTGATGGAATGCAGTGGGATTGGAATTGAGATTACATTCCATAAAACATGTATTTTGTAAATATATTGTGGAAATAAAAGTAGACCATTAGTCTTTATTCTTTTACCAATATAGACAATGTATTCTACTTTATTTCACTTCATTTCTTTTATTTCTTTACCAATGATGGCAACATTTTGCTTGTTTGCCAATAATAGCACCGTACTTTGAATTGCTTACCCATAATGGCAACATTTTCACATTTCCTCAAAGATTCAGACTAAAGCATTTCCCAAATAAACCTTCGTGGGCCATGCTTAGCATGGCCCTTACACAACCCTAGTATAGTTTTTTCTTCGATTAATCCAACCAATGGATGCTGTAACACTATATATATATATATATATATATATATATATATATATATATATATATATATATATATATATATATATATATATATATATATATAGTGTTACAGCATCCATTGGTTGGATTAATCGAAGAAAAAACTATACACTCATTCAACTTTATATATATATATATATATATATATATATATATATATATATATATATATATATATATATCACACCCCCAAACCGGAACGGTGGAAACGTTCGGGGGCGAAGGACGTCGTGTACAGTATCACAACAATTGTATAATAGGAATCAAAGCTAACACAACCATTGCATTGATAAGGCAAAGTATTTACATCTGTTCAATACATAGTTTGTATGCCATAAAAATGTATAAAAAAATATAAAAGACTTGACTCTAAAAAGCTCCGTCTTCTCAAAATCTTGCGGGTGTACCTTGTCTTATCAGTTCCCTGAGAATACAAGTAATTTTGAAAGTGTATCAAAATTTAAGTTGGTGAGTTCATAAGTATGTATTAGTGTTGGAAAACTTGTCTTTCTACTTTGAAAATACTAGTGTGTCTCTCAAGAAAATCCAAAATTTTCTATAATGAACGTAATGTAATCTTGTATGTTCCTTGCATTTGTATATTGTGTCGGTGTACTTTGTGTTAGAAAACATTGTAGTCTATTTGTATTTGTATGAAAAAACCTTGTATGAATACGTAGATCAACCAGTGGTAGTGAAAGTAGTGTACTGTAGTAGTATTTGTCTAAAAACCTTAGTATGAACGTCTGGTAATCACCAACTATAGTGTATAGTAGTGTTTGTATGAAAACCTTGTATGAATGCCTGGTTACCACCAGTTATAGTGTAAAGTAGTGTATCATTGTAGTTTTATTAATTAAAACAAAACCATTGAAGTAATGTTAATCCCGTAAACATACGAGTTAGTTATACTGTTGTGAGTTTCATATAACCATGCTTGATATGACCTAGTGACCTCTAAGACGTTCTTCAGTCGTCCAAAAGTTATGATATTTGTCACTCCATGCCTGTCGGCCTAACGGTAGCTAGCAGTTTAGGTGTGGGATTGTCAGTCCCGTATAGATCTATACACAAATCCCACACTTTTCCTCTAGGAGACTCTTGTTATACTGTAAAGGATTTAGTTTCGTATCCTAAAGGATACTAGTGAAGTAGTGCCTCACAACCCTGTATTAACTAGTTTACGTGTACCCCATCTCTAAATTTTACCATATTATTATTACTCCAAACCTGCTACATGCATATTCATAATTATAATTTACATCAGTGATCTAATTACAAAAGTCTGGATACAAACCAACTATTAAGATTTTTACAAAGTTGTATATATTACATAACTTCCCATGAATTTATACACTAAGTACAAAAGTGATAATATTAACTATTCTACATCTTCCAAAATAGCACATAACTATACTGGATCCTTATCACCTGCAATAGTTAAACATTGAGACGGATAAGCGGGTGACGCTTAGTGAGTTCAATAACAGTTACAATATAATGCTATGCCATATATATATATATATATATATATATATATATATATATATATATATATATATATATATGATAGGAGAAAAGAGGGACAAAGAACAACAAAGACATATGTATCATATGGCATGCTTTCCATATCAACCAATGATTTGATTCAAAGATTTACAATCAATGAGATACAACAATTTCAACATGATATACATGATGGGTTTTTAGCATTCTAACACTCCAATGGTGTACATGCAATCCTAATAACCTTGGATCTATGTTTTCTTTAAAATACATGCAAATAAGAATTTTCCAAGGTTCTCATCCTAACTAGCATGGCATGGGGTGTTTGTAACATAAAAACTAGTAGAATGACATACTTTTTGCTTGTGGTTGATTGCTTGGAGTTTGAGAGCCTAGCACCAATAATTTGGATGGATTAAATGGAATCACAAATCACCACACAACTTGGAAAAACTAGAGAGAGTAATATGCACACTTATAAATCGACCACTATTCTTTTTCACACACACTAGTGCCATTTCATATGCCAAGGACCCCTTAGTGTGGTGGATTAGGGTTATATCCATGTAAACCCTAATACCCATGACCTTTCATTTCCATAAGATCCATGGGTTAAAGCTCCATGGACTTTCCATGCAAGCCTAGCCCATTCTAAATAAGCATTGGCCCACTCTATATAAATATAAGAGTCCATATTTAATTAGTTACATTTTGATCACTAAATTAGTTTCAAATTAATTCTATATCAATACTAATTAAATAATATGATTTCATATAATATATTATAACTTATAATATATTAACAAATCATAACTATACTATTCTCAAAAGACTATCCAAATTGTTATGGTGAAGTGCAACACAAATGGACCATGTCGGGTCGGATCAAGTATATCCCAAATATAGTTATGGACTTAGGCACCTTATCCAATAGTCTCCCACTTGGATAAGTCTAATAACAATAGTTGCAAGCATGACTTCAGGAACCGACCAACAATCGTAGTTCTTAAAACTTTGTTGAGCTATGAAGCGCCATTTTAGATAAGTGATCATATAATCCTCTGCTCTAGATATCAGATTGACAAATACATGGAACAATGTCGTACTTATTGTCCAACAGTTTGTTTTCCCGATTTTCGATTTGTTTGACATAGAACTAAACTGAACACATCAATTTGGTTCTGATCAGGCCTGACACATAGGTCAAAAAAAATCATCGA